GCAATAGTTCAAAGTGACATCGCAAAGACCTACCGACTCCAAATGTTCTGCTCTTGAATGAAATGGCATAAAGGACGCAACATTTTAATGGAAGCAGAGAATAAGTCTTTGGCTATCCTTGCTCTATGAGGCTTTTCTTACTTGCACTATCTGAGTAATATGATAATAGGCAACTAATCCAATGACCCCAGACCTAAATATCGCCTAAATTTCTTTTGCCTGCAACACAACGGGCAGTCATTAATATGCATATAATCTATCATCACTACTGCAGTCCTTTATTATATTAATTTCCCTACCTTTTTAACTTGTTTAGTCCACTTGGTTACTTTAGGTTTTGTGTATAAGAAAAAATTAGCTTTGCAGAACACAAATGTTTGGGATAATTTATTGAAATAACGAGGTTCATACATCATGGAGATAAAATTTACTTTTTATTTTGAGACCGAATTCTAACTTTAGTGCTTATCATCGTTGTGACCAGGCATGTATGGCTATTCTCAAGATAGGAACATTGTGGCAATTGTTACTAAATCCAAAACCTCGTTAATATTGAGTGAATAAAGGCAAATGGCCTGACCTAGGTGATGGAAATTCTGAAAGTAACAGTGCTATCTTTACGAGGAATTGAAAGAAAAGTTTGGTCTGAATTAGTTTTCCAAAGGAAATTGAGTCATATGAGTTAAGAAAATAATAACATAACTCATAATCTGGTGTAGCAATTAGTTTATCCTATGACGAGAGCAGAAAATTAACTGTCTTATTTAAACCTATTTTGATTTACATTATTAATGATTATTACGGCATATACAATAATATCCCGATTAATGTTTAGTGAGATGGTTGATGTCATCCAAATGAATGTGCTACCTGTCTGATCTCTTTATTGCATATACAAGGTTTCCTCTAGCCCTTAAGAACGGCAAATATTTTTCAATGCCATAGAACTGCTGTTAATTCAATTTCTTTCTCCAAAATCTCTACAGAATCATATGACCACATTCAAGCGAAAATAAATGACTTTATAGGACGTTAAGATTTACAATAAAATACCTTCCAAAATACTATCCAAGATTGTTATTCCACTAAATAAAGAGGCTACTCACAAGCAAAAATTGTTTCAGTAATAGTTTTGGCGTTCATGAATAATTGAATATTTAAAATTTTCAACATATTTATATTTGAGGCTCACATTTGAGGTCTTCATAGTGGGTGGGCCTCATTTGTAGGATTTTAAAATAAAATGATGTAATGGAAATAGAGCAATTATTAGTTTTTACGTACCTACTTCTGCAATTTAATGCTATAGTCAGATTTCTAACAATATTTTTTAAATTTTAGCTAGCAATTTATATTACTATAGCATTTAGGCTTAGTAAGAGAGTCTGGTGGGATTCATGGTCGACTAAGCGTAAATTTAGCCCGAAAAGTTTGAATGATTACAGTGTTTCACTCTGCGCTAACCAATTTTGTTTAGGGCGATTATATACGCTTTGCCTTGAAAAATGAAATATGAGAATAAACTTAGAAGGTTGAATTAATCTTTTTCATGATTAATGACATGATTTACAAGGCCAGACAGAAAGGCATACTCGAAGGTTGCTTGCTGTGTTCTTAATTCCTGGAAGTTCTTGTCATAGTTTTTGGGATAAGGCATGCGTAAGTTTAGTTACAATCGTAATAACAGATAAAGACAAAAAAGAATGTTATATAGAGGTAGGGAGAGCCAAAACTCTGCATAATGTTATGCAATATGAATTTTACTGCATTCTATGGCCTGATAAAGTACTTTCCTTAGTAAATCTCTCACTTCTTATCTAGAGCAGTAAAATGCACATATATGGTTTAACCGCATCTAAAGTGAAGAACGAAACTAAAATATGTCTTTCACCGGTTAAGATTACCCATTTTGAGAAAAGTAACGAGCAGGCATGCACGGCATCAGGGGAAGATGTGTTGGAAAGTGATTGCTACATGCGACCTGAGAAAATGAGCTACATAATGCAGACGACGAGATTTAATAGTAAAAAGATTTAAAACCTGAGTAGTAAATTTATATTAGACTTATTTGATTCCCTTCTGGTCTGCTAATAATACTTTAACTAACTATGACTATTACCTAGTCAGCATTATGGTCTCTATTCTTTAGCCCAAAAAGGCTATGCATTTTCTGCGAAAAGCTAAATTTAAAAAAATTTAAAATCTCAACCTTATGGTTGCGGCTTAAAATTTATAGAAAAAGATAGGATATCTACAGTTGAGAAGGCCAAAGAGCAAAACATCTTTGGTTGAACATTAATCAAGGACCTCTGATATGGTTGCCACTTCTAATTCCTTTGCCTAATTCTCATGCACAGATAGGCCAGCTAATATTACAAAAAGGTAAAACTTAATTCTTTTTCTTAAAGCAATCTTGTTTGTGGCGCTTTTCTGGTTTATTAAAAGTTTTTTACTCATAAGAAGTTATTTTGTGACTAATATTTGATCTTATATAATAGCTTTATTCACGCTATTTCGTTCGGGTTGATGAAGGACTGATAGTATAATTTTCTTACAATGTTATGGTTATACCGCACGTTTTCAGTGAATTTCCCATAGTTATTCATCCCACAATGTATTATCATCCAGGGTGGACAGCTGTTTCGAACTCGTCTAGGTCTCATCAGTACCCCAGCAGGGTTAGAGCTGTAATAATGCATCATATCAGCTCAACAATTTAGTCGCTATGCCAGCCCGTCACGAGTGCCCTTGAATCACATGGCAGATGTGAATTTCAAAGAAGTTTAGGTATTTTACATACCCCATGCTTATGTGGGGTTGTAAATTAAGCAAAGTATTATTTGCTATAGCGTTTGCTAAATTACTTATTTTTCGACTATTAAGTAGCTTTCCATAGATAGCGAATTGGTCTTATATGGAATAGATTTTTAAAAAAGGACAGAAGAAGCATAGTGTACCTCTTATTGCTTCACCATCTCTAGTTAAGTTTATGTTTGCCTTTTATT